TCCGGCCGCTTCGGCCGCGCTCTTCGCCTCTTGTCCCCTCTGCTCGCGTTTCCCCCGTCTTTAGTGTTGCCCTGTTCTTCTTTATAGCTCCTGGCTGCTGCTCCTTGCTGTTCATCTTCTTGATTCTCCGTGCTTTGTTCGCTTTTCTCTCTCCCTCTGTCCTCCACCTTGTCATCTTTTGTGTTTTCGCTGCTGAAATCATCATCTGGGGAGGAAAAAGCAATCACAGACCAAGTTCCAGCCTCGCTCTCTGCTCCAGAAAAGGCACGCAGGGAATTTTTAGATTTATGGGGTGCAGAGGTAAAAATGACAACTACCTTTAAGAGAGTAAACTGTCGTTTCTTCTCCTTTTTCGTTCAGGTCTTCGATGAAGCTTTTGCTCACGTTGTCTAAAGCCTGAAAGGGATATGGCCTATCAATAAAAGCTCCAGAAATGCAGTTATTACCTGAGTTTTTCCTTTCTTTTGATTTCTGCTATCATTATCTGGTCTTTCCTACCATAAAACTCTCTGCAACAATATCCTTCCTTTCTCCCTGCAGTGGTTACTACCTCTTAGTATCCCTCATCCAGTGCCTCCTGCCCTGAAGATTCCGTCTCTCTCGCACTGTCACTTCTCTTCTGGCAGGAGAACAGGCTCCGCCTGAGCTGTGGACGCCCGTGAGGGATCGCCAAAGAGGTAGGTGTCTGGGCTGGGACCGTTGCCTGGCAAGCCGTGTGCGGTCCCATCACCCACAACCCACGGTCGGGTCAGTGAAGGCTGGCTACCAGAACACGCAGGCTGCTTTACCGTGGGTCACCGGCCATGCCCAAATGTTCTTCCGTGGTCTGACGCGAAGTGGTTTCTCTGGGACATTTTGGAGAGGCCAGAAAAGGGTGAGCTGTGATCAGCAGCTGATAGCAACTGCGCACAGAGAAGGCACCGCTGTACTCTGTGTGTGAAATCCTTGCCCCCATGGAGGTCAAAAGAAAATTTTCCCTTGACCTGAGCAAGGTTTCGGCTTCATCCTTTTATATGTTGGACTGATTGATAACCTCGGGTTAAGTTTTCTGAGCCAGAAGGTTTCCTAACTTTTAATATGTAAACCGCCTCAGAGGCTGCGTTTCCCCCTCTTAACACACCAGCTGCGCGGTGATGCTTTCTGAGTTCACAGGACACCAGGCAAGAGTCACAGCTCACTTACTGATGCTGCCCCAGGCTTCTCTCCTCTTTGCAACAACCCACTTACAATAATGATGGCCTTTTGAGCTGCTTCGTTGTGAGTAAGCTTTGCCTTCTCGAGTGCTTTTTCAAAGGTCACGATTGCAGACTGGTAATCCTTTAATTTTACTGTAAGAGACAAACGAAAACATCTATTTTAACCCAGGATCAAGAGTACAACAACAGTTAATCGAGCAAGTCTCCGATGAGAGGTCTTGATCCGAACAGTTACTTTGGCTGCTAAATGTTTTCAGCGGGATGCTGAACGGACAAGGCTGTCTCCATCCTTAGAGCAAAATTTGAACTAACGCCTTTACCTTGCGCTTGTGCCACTAGAACAGCAGCATGGAGTTGCCACTCAACGTCTCCCTCTTCATCTGCTGACTGCAGGGACTTCTGTCCGTAGTTTTGGGCTGCTTCAGCTTTATTCAGCTCGAGGTAACATCGGCCAATTTCGTGGAACAGCCAGGTCTTCTCCAGGCTGGATTTTGCCATCGGAATCTTCTCTTCCCAGCTTCGAGCAGAGAGTAAGACAGACAGGCGTTTACTGAACCTCACTCGGTGCAGCTATAATTTCAACCACTGATTTCATAAACAAAGGGTTCCAGGTACTGTTGGTATGAACAATTCCACAGCCCCCCTTGCTAGCAGCGTGAATAAACAAACTGAAAAGGCATAATCTATTTAATTCAAAATACAACCTTAGGCCTTTTCCGTTACTAATTTTACGTACGTGTCAATAGCTTGCTGGAATTTGCCAATTCTGGCATAAACTCTGCCGATGTTATCGAGGGCTCTGGATACGGCACCTGGCAGATCGCTGCGTTGAAAAGAAAAAGAAATCGTAGTAAGTGAGAGAGTCTCGTTCCCGGTACAGCCTCAGCCGTGTTCGTTCTCTCTGGTGCCCTGCCTGACTTCAGGCGAAGCGCTGCGCAGCGGAGGCGAAGGGCCGACGCCGGACCGAAAGTCACCAAAATCGAGGTAGGGCTTTGATTTCACCCACAGCTCTTGCAGCTGACGCCCCGTAAGGCACAGGGGGAAATGGTTGTTTTGCATGTGATTATTCTTTTTTGGCGCAAATCTGGCAGTCCTTGTGAAAGCCTTTCCCCTTTTCCTTGCCTCAGTTTCCCTTCGTCGCCCTGTGGGTCCCGCGGAGTCCCCCACCAGCTCCTCGCTCCCTGAGACCCACGGGTGATCTCTGCCCAGGGAAGACCCCACCCCGCAGGTGGCTCGGGAGGGGGGGGAGCGGCGCCGCCCCCTCCGCTCTGCGGGAGCCTTCGCCCCACCCGGGGGGCGGCAGCAGGCCTGACGTCACGTAACCTGCGGGTCTTACGTCACGCAGCCTGCGGACCCACGCTCCCAGTGAAGGGGCTGCCCCGAGGGGAGCGGGGCGATGGCCGTGTCCCCGAACGGCCGCCAGGGGGCGCAGCGCCCCCGCTCATCGCCGCGTTTCCGGCCCTCACGTGTGACTTCACGTGTGACGTCACGTGGGGGGGCTGAAGGACGGCTGACGTCAGGGATCTGCTTCCTGCCCCCCCGCCCCTGGTTCGG